CGCCCAAGCGGGCGGTGCAGGTGGGGAACCGCCAGGGGTCAAGGGTTAGGCTAGGGGCCTTGGAGTCGCGATGGAAGTCTCCGGGCATGGAGAAGCTCGTGGGACTGATAAGTCCTGCACGTGGACTACCCTGGCCGCGGCTGAATCCCGGGTGATCCTTGGGACCCCCGAGTGACGCCAAACTGGGCCGCGTGCTGGCACTGGGTCTCCGAACCATCCGTGGGCTCCCTAAGCTGATCCTCTAGGTGACACCTCCCCAAGAAAACCCAATTCATGCTTTCAGCCGCTCGCTCGGAGACCTTTACCTGCTTGAGGAGTTTAGTCTCAGTTCCCTTCACTCCCTCCAACCCTGTCACCACACATCACATACTAGGTCTTTTTTTTTTTTTAATATTTATGTTTTTTTTAAAGTTATAGTTGGACACAATATCTTTATTTCACTTATTTATTTTTATGTGGTGCAGAGTGAGGATCGAACCCAGAGTCTCACACGTGTGAGGCTTGCGCTCTACCGCTGAGCCACAACTCCAACCTCGCAGTCCGTTTTAAATGCTATTTTATTACATTTTCTTTTTCCACCTGTCGTTATTTCAGAACTTCCTGGTTCTCCATAAATCATGGTGCACCTTGTGCTCCCTCCTCCAGGAAGTGCTCCCTGACCAGCCTCTCTAGACCTGATCAGGCCACCTTGTTCTGGCTCCTAGCACCTGGATGTTTCATTGTTCTGATTATCTCCATCTCTTCTAATCCATCCCTGTAATGTGGTCAGGTAGAACTTGTCCCCTCAGCACACTGGAACCATAGCTACTTTTTTTTTTTTTTTTTTTTTTTTTAAGTACTAGGGATTGAACTCAGGGACACTCAACCACTGAGCCACATCCCCAGCACTATTTTGTATGTCATTTAGAGACAGGGTCTTACTGAGTTGCTTAGTGCCTCCCCATTGCTGAGGCTGGCTTTGAACTCTCAGGAATCTTGTGACCACCCTGCTCAGCCATAGTTACCATTGGAATGCATTAATGTATAACTTACATTCCAAGGAAGTGAGGTCACATCCATCACTGAACACATCAGGATCCACCAATTCTGTTGTGAGGCAAGCATGGCCCTCCAGTTCCTCCCAACCCATTTTACAGATGGGAAGGTGGCTGCAGGGGAGGGTTGCTGAATCTTGCCTGGTGGCAGAACCAGGGCCTACATGGGTCATATTCAGGGCAGATGATGTGGGGCCCATGTAACTAGGCTCAGGCCAGTCTTTTGTGGCTGTGTGTTTTCCATGGTGTGATTTTCAGTGCCACAGGAGGGGTCCCATTACTGGGCTGCTTGGGCCTGGTGCCCTTGGCCTTCAACTAGCCAATCTTGTTGCCCTACCCCTATACCACCCTAACCCTAGCCAGAGAGACAGCGTACCACATAAATAACCATGGCTATGACTTCACATGCATTTATTCTTTTTTAAAAATATATTTATTTGGGCTGGGGATGTGGCTCAAGTGGTAGCGCGCTCGCCTGGCATGCGTGCGGCCCGGGTTCGATCCTCAGCACCACATAACAACAAAGATGTTGTGTCCGCCGAGAACTAAAAAATAAATATTAAAAATTCTCTCTCTCTCTCACTCTCTCTTTAAAAAAAAAAAGAACAAGCAACAGCAGACATTTAAAATATATATATTTATTTTTTTAGAGAGAGAGAATTTTTGTAATATTTATTTTTAAGTTTTCGGTGGATACAACATCTTTTTAAAAAAATATTTATTTTATTTATTTTTAAAAATTTATTTATTTATTTTTTAGAAAGAGTGAGAGAGAGAGAGAGAGAATTTTTTTTAATATTTTTTTTTTTTTTAGTTTTCGGCGGACACAACATCCTTGTCTGTATGTGGTGCTAAGGATCGAACCCGGGCTGCTCGCATGCCAGGCGAGCGCGCCACTGCCTGAGCCATATTCCCAGCCCTGGATACATCTTTATTTTATTTTTATGTGATGCTGAGGATCAAACTCAGCGCTCTGTGCATGCCAGGCGAGCGCGCTACCACTTGAACCACATCCCCAGCCCCTTTAAATTTTTTTAAGATAGAATTTTAAAAATATTTTTACTTTTTTAGTTTTCGGTGGACACAACATCTTTATTTGTATGTGGTGCTGAGGATCGAACCCAGCGCCCTGTGCATGCCAGGGGAGCGCATTACCACTTGAGCCACATCCCCAGCACCTTGTTTTTTAGTTGTAGTTGGACACAATATCTTTTTTATTTTTATGTGGTGCTGAGTATCGAACCCACGGTCTCGAATGTGCAAGGCAAAGCGCTCTACCTCTGAGCCACAGCCACAGCCCACACATGCATTTATTCTTTTAACCTTCACAATAACCCAAGAGGAAGGCTCTCTTTGTATCATCTCCATTTTATAGATGGGGAAACTAAGGTTCCTTTTTGTTATTGTTGTTTTGGCAATGCTGGGGATTGAACTTAAGTTCTTATACATGCTAAGCAAGTGCTCTACTACTGAGCCACATCCCAGCCCTAAAACTTGGGGACTCCCCAAGGCCACACAGCTGGAACATGGCAGAGCCAAGACTTGAACCCTGTCAGGCTTGTTCTGTGCTGGACTAAAATGTGGAGGTGTGGGAGTAGTAGGGTAGAGTCCTGCCAAGGCTGTATGGTCTTCAGTGCAGAATTCAGGTTCCTCTCTGTGATACTGGCAGTCAGTGAACCCCTCTTCCCCAGCTTCTCTAGGACACATGGTATAATTGTAGTGTCCTCCCTCTGGGACTGCTGTCAGGACATCCTCACAGGTGCAGAGCCA